CCTCGCCCCTCCCCCGGCGTCTCCCCCGGCAGCCCCTCCCCCGACGCGACCTTGTTCTACCTCTGGACTCCGGTGGCGACGGCGGCGCAGGAGAGGTGTGCCTCCTCCTCCTACTGGATCTCCAATCTAGGGTTCCGGTGAGGTTTCCTCTCGTCTTCCCCAACTCCGGCGGGTTTAGAGGGGAAGGTTCAGGGTTCGTTTTTTATTCGCCACGTGGCTTGACGACTTCCTTCCACGTATCAGATTTTTATTAGCCCACGTATCGTGACATGACTATTTCACATGTCATGCACTGTTTTGTCCACTTGCCAGCCAGGCGGTGGGGATGGTCGTAGGGCGGCTTTTGGGTTCTGGCGGCGTAGGGAGGCGGTCGGGCCAGGCCGTTTGGGTGCGTCCATGGCTGGAGCTTGCCGCGGAGGAAGGAGGCGGCAGGGGCAAGGTTCGCCGGAGATGAATAAGACGTCGTACTTGAGAGAGAGAGAGAGAGAGAGAGAGAGAGAGAGAGAGAGTGCGGTGGGGAGCGGCCAGCCGTTCTTCCCCACCCCCTGCAGGCGCGAATCTTGACGCCCGCTACTGGCCAGGATAAGGCCGGTATCCGCAGGGGCATGTGATATTTCCGCTTTGGGCCCAGCGGCGCGGCACGTCTGCACAAGCAACAAGGCCAAGCGCCCGAGGCATGGGCCAACTTCGAGGGGGCGAGCCCATCAGCCCAAGTGCTAGCACACACAGCAGTACAACATCCCCTCAAAGAAAAACACAGCAGTACAACACCTGCCAAAAAAAACGCCTGGCCCCGGCCCTCTGTTCGCTATCAGGTGCCCGCCATTGCCAGCCGGTCGGTCCGCTGCCGCCCATTGAGACCTGGCCGTCGCGGACTACAGAAACCAGGGAGACGATACACACATGCAAGCGGCAAGCCCCCCCTCCATCCGTAAGTTTCATTTTAGCATCCTTCCCCCACTAGTATGTGGGTGACCATGGCTCCTGCAAGAGTCATCGATTGTTGCTGCCATGTTAGCATCTGAAATATAATCTGATCCTCTAGCCTAACCTGATATTGGAGTGTCTTACCTGATTTTCTGTCTACCATCGACTGAAAGGGTAGAAAAATTACTTGTGTAGTGCGTTTGTGATTTATGACATGTGAAATTGCCAACCCAATACCAACCCCTCGGTGTTTTTCCTAAGAATTGCCTCATGGAAACTATTCTGTGTAATCATCATTACTAAAGATACTAACCAAATGTGAGCTTTAGGGAAACTCCAATGGTTAGGTTAATTAGCACAGATACTCGTACCTTCTAGCCTTCTAGTTTTGTCCTAAGCTAAACAATCTTAGGTTTGACCAAATTTATATAGAAGACTACAAAGACTTTTATTACAAAATAAGTGACATTAGACTCATCATGAAATATAATTTCATAATGTTAATAGTTTTCTCTATTAACTTGGTAGATCGAAATAGCTTGATTTAGAACAAAACTTGAATGCCATTTTTTAGGATGGAGGTAGTAGTTTTTTAACTGTTGGGACACAAATATATGAGCAGCAAAGGCTAAGCGCCACTCTAACTAGAAAAGACTAACGATGTGTATCACATGAGAAACTATCTGCAAGGATCATGCAGGACGCCTTCACCCGCGCCACCTAGACTAGGCGAAGGTCCAAGGGTAATGGCGAAGGTCCTAGGAGGCGTCGGTTCGATGCAGTACCTGGGCGAAGGCGCAAGAGCGGCGACGAAGGCCTCGAGAGACGCAGGCCAGGCGCCAGCGCCAGCAAAGAAGGTGGCCATCCAGGCAAAGGCGGACGGGAAGACCCAGGAGTCGGCATGCGTGATGAAGACCTCCGCCGGCCAAAGAAGGATCCCCCGCGACACGGGAGAACTTGAACGGCAGATGGGCCTCCAGTGGATGCGAGATAAGGCCCATGGAGCAGGGCGGTTGACAAGAGAGAAGACCAAAGATGACCTTAGGAAAATACACTTGTACGGGCATATTCCTAGGAATATGCCTTAGCTGTCTTGGGGTAAGAATGTAAAACGACGCCCCTATGAATAGTGTCTTATAAAAGGGGAACCAAACCCTATGTGAGAGGAGGTAGCTAAATACCATTTATGAAACCCTAATTCTTCATGGACCCACCTGAGTTCCTAACATTGCATAGAGCCTTTGCCTAGGCGGAGATCTCACTCTACTTATTTCATCCCGCTGGGATCCATTATCCCAACATTAACTAGTAGGTGAAACTTGTCCATTGACAACGAGATCAAAAATAAAACTACTAATTAGAAAAACAACAATATATACTAAACCAGTAAGTAATACCAACCAGTTGGTATTGGATGATCGCGGAAAATAATAGAATGACTAGAGAAACAATGAATTCCGACATTAAAAATCATCGATTTATGGACAGATCTATTTAATTAACAAATTGTGCCTTGTGTTCCATCAACTCTCTGACGATGTAAAATACCATGATTTTATAGTATGCACAAAAATCTATCCCTTGAGGTAAAGGCAGTATTTATAATGCAGAGAGATTAAAGAACTCTCGTTCACACACCACTCAAAATAGGATAATGTGCCTCACATCTTACAAAACAGGATATAAGCATATATTAAGGATAGTGACTAGCGAAAGGGTAGCTTGAATTTGTGTTAAAGTGATTCAGAAACACTGACAACAACAAAATAATTATAGTAAGGCACACGGTAATTGTAATTCATCAAGGAACAATCAAAGAGGGAACAACACAAATATTAAGACAACAACATGATAATTTATCATGAAAGTGACAACCTAAGTGAGTAACACCACAATTCATCAAAACACAGCTAGCCTAACCTTAAAAGGTGACTTCACTTTATTCCAGTGACTTGATACTAACCACGGCTATCCCTAAACTAGAGCACAACAAAATCTACAAACTACAACCAGCTTGATCAATTGCTCTCTCTCCTTTAAGTAAATCAAACCCCATGTTAGTATTACGCTGGGTATATATTCCTTAAACTGTCGAATTGTGCGGAGTAGCCCCAAGCAAATCAGGTTCTCATTGTATTCACAGAAAAGTGAATCACCAAACAGCAGCATCTCTGCCCCTCCAACAAATCCCAGTGTCACTGACACTTGTTCAACATCCGCCATACCCCTTATGTAGCAGTAGGCATTAGGATTATCGTCGAAGAGCACCCTGGTCAGACAAATATCAGCCTCGTTTTTCCTTAATAGAGGGTAAAGTCTAATTTACAACCTTAAACTCTCGTCAAAGTCCGGATTTCAACCTCGAACTTCAAAACCGGATAACTTTGGCCCTCAAACTCCTGAAACCGTTCAACTTTCAACCCTGGGCTGGTTTCTGGGCTGTTTTGGTGTATGAACAGTAACTTTTGATATTTTTAGGAGGCGTCAAAATTTTATATTATTTTTTTGAGTATCTTAACTTCCTCAAATGAAAAAACTCAAAACTACAAAGTTGTAGATCTCATTGAGAGCTACAACTTCGGTATAAAAAGTATTTTCATTTAACTCCATACAAATAATATATTAGTGCTCTAATGCGGCAAGCGCTAGTAGGCGATTATTATGGTGCTGAAATTTTATATTTTCGAGCATCTTACTGTCCTCAAATGAAAAAAATTAAAACTATAAAGTTGTATATCTCATTGAGGTCTACAATTTACATATAAAAATTATCTTCATACGACATCGTATTGAAGGGTTTTCTATTTTTTGAAATTTGACTCTCGTCACGCGACAAAACAATACTGTGACGTGACGAGACTCAAATTTCAAAAAATAGAAAACCCTTCAATACGATGTCAGATGAAGATAATTTTTATATGTAAATGGTAGACCTCGATGAGATCTACAACTTTATAGTTTTATTTTTTTTTCATTTGAGGATAGTAAGATGCTTGAAAAAATAATATAAAATTTCAGCACCATAATAATCGTCTACTAGCGCTTGCCGCATTAGAGCACTAATATATTATTTGTATAGAGTTAAATGAAAATACTTTTTATACCAAAGTTGTAGCTCTCAATGAGATCTACAACTTTGTAGTTTTGAGTTTTTTCATTTGAGGACGTTAAGATGCTAAAAAAATAATATAAAATTTCGACGTCTCCCAAAAATATCAAAAGTTATTGTTCATACGCCAAAACCGCCCAGAAACCAGCCCAGGGTTGAAAGTTGAACGGTTTCAAGAGTTTGAGGGCCAAAGTTATCTGGTTTTGGAGTTCGAGGTTGAAATCCGGACTTTGGTGAAAGTTAAGGTTGTAAATTAGACTTTACCCTAAAATATATAGTCAGGAAGCCAAAACCCGAGAGTTCCCGAGTCCACCACTATTTTCTCTTTGTTGTTTACATTTGCTTCATCTCCAGGAAATATAGGTACAGGTTGCTGCTGAGTTAAGTGATTTCCATGCTGATACGTGACCCGATTGAGATAGACTCTGTACTTATCTTCAAACTTCCAAAATGGGGTCCTCTTCCCTGAGAGTTGGGCTTGAGACCCAAATCTTAGGTAGCTCAGTGCTTGATCACCATCCTCACGTTCTGCTGTAGCTGGAACACAGTAAGAGAATCTGTCCACGCCTACTTGTGCTTGGAGTGACAGCCTACTAATACCGAGAGCTAGAATTCCCGTGTTATACTCCCTTACAAACATGGACCTTTCAGATGTGGTACAGTCGAAAGCAACTTGCAGCTCAAAGTGGTAGTCATAGTTGCCTTCATAGCTGAAGTGGAAAATATCAGATACTAGGTAACCTGTGGCCCTACTGATCCCATCACCGTATCCCCTATAAAAAATGCACTCTCTGCTGACTGAGTCAGCACAACAGAGATAGGAAGAATGCTTACTGAGTGGATCATCACAGAAGACACTACGAAATGTGCTAGACTTGACGGATTATAGGGTGGGTAATGGCCGCGTGCACAGGCATAACAAGGAGAGCACTACGTCCAGGATAGATCAGTACCAGTGTCAAACATGAGGTACCTTGAAGAGATGCGGTCGAGAGAACCACCGATGCGGAAATGGACTGGGGCAAGCATCTTCTCGCTGGCCAAGGCATCATCAGCGGGCACAGGTGACGAGACCAGTTGAATCTCCTCCTTGAACAGGTCGAGAGTGGTAACAATGGGATCAGTGGTGATGCCACTAGTGCTAGGTCTTTTAAAAAAAAATCAATTTTTCAAAGGAGGATGCCGAGTCCTAATATACCCGCATATGGAAACTAGTTTCCCAGGCAACCACTTATGTACGTCTTTAAAAATTGACATTAACACATACCATGCCATGCATACTTTATTTCGACCGACCGTGGTAGTGTTAATTGTCAAAACAATGCTACAATATCCGATCCGACAACAAAACACAACTATAGGCAACTGATTTTCCCGGTTTTATAGGGAAGAAAAACAGGCTTCTCTGGCGACTACCGAAAGTCCTACCCTTCAACGACGGACTGTTTTTTAAGGAAAAAAGACGTATATACAGTGGACATCCAGGCCCAAGTAATTGTCATGCATAATCATTGAGGATTGAGAGGATTTATACCCCTGTACCGCCGACGATTGTTACGCGCAGACTAATCATCGGCACCTCCTCCGTACGTGGTGCACGCCCGCTCGCCCTTGCTATACTCCTCGCGTTGCTCCTCCATGACGATGCGGCGTCCACCCAAGGGCAAGGGCTTGAGGAGAGGTTTGAGAGTAGGTAGCACACTACCATCCCGCGTTGCGTTGTCTATCTCTGCGCCTCTAAACTCCCATCGACTTTGTTGTGTGTGCAGACCCTTATGCCGGGGACCTGCGGTTCAACACGATCTGGGCGAGGAGCGTTGCCGAGGCCAAGCCATGGTACAACAAGTCCGGGGCGAACGAGACCGACCCGGTGCAGGCCGTGATCGCCAAACGCATGGCGGCCGTCGGCTCCACCTACGGGTTCGCTAGATCGTGGCTCTAGGGGAGGTGCCCGTGGCTGGGCAACGACGGAACCATATCCGGGATCACCCGCCGCTGCTACCTTCGCGAGCTCAGACTGTTGGAGGAAGAGTTGCGCCCACGGCTGGCGCCGCCGCCGGAGAGCCCAGATGACAAGGCGCGCCGCGAGGTGCTTCAGATTTTGATGCAGACTACGACACAGGTGTATCCATGGCCTGAGGTTATTCGCAATCCAGTGATAAAGAGCAGACTACGCTTGGACAGGGCCCCTCGGTAAATCCCGATGTAGATGGTTGATTCCTTTGCTTTGCTTTGCTTTTTTTTTTTTGTTGATTATCGAACATCTCTGTATCGAAGTGATATAATATCTGAGACCTTTTTTTTTCATTGGTTGTTATATCTGTTACCAGTTTCCATAACCGATCTTTCGTAAGCCACAAAATTGGAACCAGCTCATGCTTTGCCGCCATTATCGCTTCAGCTTTACCCCCTTGCAGATGCTTTGCTGCTGAGTGCGGGTTGGCCTACTTGCAGATACTTTGCCGCCTCGTCGTCTCTGGCGCTTTCGTAGCGGATACTTTGCCGCTACTGGTCTCGTCTCTTCTCGTTGGATATATTGCACCACGGCTTCATCTCCTGTGTGGGCAATCGATGTGTAGATGTATTTTTTCTTGCAAGTCCAGTCAGTTAGATTTGTGGCTGAGGGTCCTCTCCTCTCTTTAAGCGAGGTGGTTTTAGGAACTGTTGGAAACATGTTTTCTTAATTTTGCTAAAAATTCTAGATTAGGAGAGCATTTTAGAAACTCTTGGAGATGCTCTTACCACCTTTCTTGCTTGTTGGTTGTTTCGGGTGATTGGGGGGTCTTACCATGACGCCTATTGTTGTAAAACAAACTTCTTCTGCTTAATGAAAGCCGTACCATGGCACGTTAGAGAAAACAAAATTAGAACTAGATTACCCACCACCCCTTGGTGGATTTGACCTGTTAAAACTGTTGTATGTAGCCCATGTTACTCAAAATGTGATTCTTATTGGAAGCTCTGTCTATTTTATACATTAATATAATGGATTATTCCTGCAACGCAAAAGGAGATCCTAATTCAGTACGCAAAGGATGATACTGCACACAATTTCAGGTCCTATAGGGAAGATTCAGTATTCATAACGGATTATCTGCAACGTAAAAGGAGATCCTATACTTCATAACAGCGAAGGTATCTACTTTCAAGTGTTCCTTGATACTCTGAAGATGCTAGTGCACACAAGTTCAGGCCCACTAGGGCAGAGTCAATATTCATAATGAAATCTCATTCATGCACCAAATAAAACCTTGGAAGCAGAAAGCATAGCATGTGTTGCACAAAACAACAGGGATTAAGGACACGACATCCCAAAAAAAGTAACTTGAAGTTGTGTGGAGAAGGTAATATATCCAGATATTTTAACCAAATAAACAGGAATTGGATGCTACATGATTGTTACAGATAGACGGGTGGCTCAGAAGATTGGAAGTAGAAAGTACACTTACAGTTGCAAGCACATCAAATTGCAGTGTAATTAGAACAATCTTTTCTTCCCACTGGGTGAGTTTGTTCTTGTGCAAAGAACCTTCCTGCCTTTGGCACGCCTGCGCTTCAGTACCTTTCTTCCAGAAGTAGTCCGCATCCGCCTGCGGAAACCATGTGTACGGGCAAGTGACTTCCTAGACCTTGACCTCTTGGTCATGCAGAGGGCAGCCTTTCCAGCCCTAATCTGCAGACCATGGGATCTTCGTGTAGTCATTCTATTGTAGCTGAACTCAATTCCCAAAGATGAACCTGACATAGAACATGTTAAAAGAATAAGAACAATGAAGGCACACAGGCATTCACAATCACTTATTTGTGAATACCTATCTGGTTGTGTTTGAATTTTGGAAAAGGTTATACAATGCTTAAGTGGTTCCTTGAATTCAACTTTGCTGTGCTTATTTTAGGAGCTTTGGGAGTGATTAAAGTGGTGTCATAGTATCAGTCTTGAGATCAAGTTTCTTGGAAGCGCTTGTGCTTCAACTGTGTTATATAATTTATTTGACTATATGTTGGTTAGCAGTCCTGTCGTATGCAGCCCTTCATAGATATTGATTTCTTGTCAAGCAAAAGAAAATGCTAATTCAATGTCTTGTAGATGTTGTCTAGATGATTTGCAATAGAAAACACAAGACAAATTCTATGTAGCTATTTTGTAAGATTTTGCAACATCGAAATGATTCAGGACTGAAAGAAAATGGTCAATTCTATGTAGCTGTTGTCATGTAAGATTTTGCGATATTCACATCATTTAGGACAATTCAGACAGATATAGTCTAGAACTTATCAGACATTTCGTGGAGATAATAACAATTACAAAGTTTCATATTTGCTCCTTCTCATAACTCTCAAAAAATGAGCATAGTCAGTTTCAAGTTTGGGCACTGACACACATGACACAACTGACTCCACAAGTACTCTACAAATTACTTCGCCTCACATTCACATTATACTAAATAAAATTTTGTTGATTGAGCCATTTAGGAATGCTCAGACTCCAGAATATAAAATTTCAGATTTCTCCGAACCATCCAATTAACCATGTGTTCGACACTAACTGAATTTGAGATTTTTCATAATACCAGCCACACAAGTTTCAATGTTTTCAGACAACTAACTGGGACACCTTTATTTCTGTTTATTTACATGAAGGGAGCGTAATTAGTTCCGTTTCAAACGTTAAACCAACGTAAGTCCCCAGTTATTGTACTGCTCCCTATAGTGGACTAGAGCAATGAACAACAAACTATACAAAAACTACACCCTCTCGACGCCACCTTCCTTCCTGGTATCATTAGTGAATCCTGTATTAACAACTCAAATGCCCTATCTGAAGACCTAGCGCCAGCACAAGGTGCATGAATACAGTAGTAAACAACTAGCCACAAATTCCCCAAAGGTCAAAACAAATGGCCGCCCAAACGCCAGCACACAATACAGAGAAGAGAAGGAATACGGGATACATTCTCACCTGCGAAGGAGGAAGAGGACGTGAAGGCCAGCGACGCCGAGACCGCCGCCGCGAGCGAGGCGGGGGAGGCGGAGGCGGACGACGTGGAGGAGGACGAGACGAAGGAGCTCCGGAGGAACGGGGAGGCGGAGACGCCCACCGGGGCCGCCCTGCGAGTGCGTACGACGCCTCCGATAGCCGCCGCCGAGATCCTCCCGGAGTGGACGGGGAGAGACGCCATTGGAGAGGCTAGGGCGAGCGCCATGGTTGGAGGACTCGCAAGTGTTGCGAGCTAGCCACTCCCTGCTGCTTTGTTTTGTTTTATCTTATCCACGCTTGATGAGGCAGACCTTACGGGCAGCCAGTCCGGGGAACGCTGGCGCTCGGACGTCCGATGCATTGGACGGTTTTTGTGGACGTACTCCTCAGCACGTGCTTCTTCTCAATTCCATGCTTACCCTTACTAGTCTGCACGCCCTCAGCACGTCCCCGACCCCAGTCCGCAAGCCTTCAGATCGCCCCGCAGTCCGTCGCGTCCGCCCCACGCCCGTGACGAGCATGCTGCATTCCCAGCACGCCCCATGGCCATAGCACCCCGTGTCCGCCGCCCCCAGCACCTCCGCCCGCTAGGCCCCCGGCGAACCACGCGCCCCCACCCGTCCCTCTCCGGCTGAACAACATAGAAAGCTAAAATAAAACACATGCAACAACACGGAACAACTACTGCAACATTAGGCTGAAGCAGCTGAAACACCATGAACATATTATTGCAACAACACGGAAACAACTACTGCAACATTAGGTCAAGCAAATTGAAACACTATGAACATATTATTGCAACAAACACGGAACAACAACGCAACAACATTCAAGCGGTTGAAACAAATATATTATTGCAAAACATGGAACAAATTGAAACAATGGTCATGAACATATTATTGCAACAACACGGAACGGTATTTTTCTCTCACAACAAATCAATAGGTTAAAGTTTTTTCAAACATTTACGGGAACATATTATTGCAACATTGGTGTCAAGCATATAAAACAACGCTCGAATAAAAAACACTTGCAACAACATTGAACAACTACTGCAACATGAGATTGAAGCAACTGAAATATTTTGAAAGTATTATTGCAACATTTGTGCCAAGCATATGAAAACATCTGGATCAGAACGATTGCAACATCGTCTAGAAACAAGTGAAACATTTTGAAACAGTGCATTCAACAAACCTTTGAAACAAATGCAACATGGGCAAAACATCCCCAGATCTACTTGTGCAACATCCTTACGATTCAACTGCAACATATCTCTGAAGCGTCTGAAACAACTGAAAGATACAATTGCAACATATAGAGGGGAGAGAGGGCCTGCACGGGGAACGTCGTGCTCGCCAGATCTGAGGGCGTCAGGAGCTCCCTGTGGGGGAGGACGCCGGTGTCGGGGTGGGGAGGAGGGAGCCGAGGTGGGAGAGAAGGACGCCGAGGTTGGGGAAGGAGACGTCGGTGTGGGGGAAGGAGCTGCCGTGGTGGGGGAGGGCGTCAGTGTTGAGGAGGGAGCCGGGGTGGGGGAGGAGGACGTCGGCGTCGGGGAAGGAGACGTTGGTGTGGGGGGAGGAGCTACCATGGTGGGGGAAAGAGGATGCCGGAGTGGGAGAGGACGCCGCCTGGCCGCGGCAAGGGAGGGACAGGCGGAAGCGGAGGGAGGCGCCGCCGCCGGCCGCTCATGCGCGCTGGAGCCTTGATCGAGGTCGTGTGTGGCCCCTGAAACCATGTAGGAGGAGAGGGAGAGGAGAGGAGCAGCGGCAGCGACCGTGTGGAGGAGCGGTATCCGGTGTGCAGTACGAGCGGATAAAGCTGTGAGGGACGATTGGAGGATGACACGCGGCGCCGTATCCGATCCTTATCTGATTGTGTCCGGAAACCGTCGGACCTCAGAGTCGCAGCATTACCGTGCCAGTTTCGGCTGGTGCACGCTGGGCCCAGTTGAGCAACTTCTTTTTCCTACGCGCTTGGCACATCACCGCACTGTGGCGCGCTCCCGCCGGCGCCGTCACCGGGAAACCAGACCTCGATGAGATAAGCGACTCTGGCCTCCTCAACTCCTCTCCACCTATATCAGCACAGGCTGCCCAGGCGTACCTTATTCCCACGCCGTCGAGCTCGGCCGCTGGGTCTCCTCTGGCCTGGTCCTGGTGGTTGCTGCTTGCCGCTGCCTGCACCTGCCCCAGCGACGGCTGCCACCATCATTAATCCCAGGTGCCCTCTCTCCCTGATTTTCCCAAACTTGATTAGGTTCCGATGTAAAGGTTTGAGCCATTTGTTTTGTTCTGCATCCAAAGCCCAAGGACAAGTCTCAAGCTTCTGGATCGTGAGTAAGCTCCTGTTTTTTTAGCGAAATGCCTCTGCAATTTCAGGTGGCAATGTTCGAATGTTCAGGACAATTGTTGATATCGCTGTGTCTTTACTATCAACAACGCTGCATACTAGAATGCAAGTCCTTGCTAATCAGTTTCAGTATCATGTACACTAAGAAAAAGAATACTTGAGGCTAAGCATAAATTCAGTAAAAACTTCTGAACTTCATTCTCAACTATGATGCAGTCTTGCTAATCAGAGTGCTCACGGAATTATGTGTAGTTTCAACTCTGAACATGGGTACGTTCATCCATTAGTCGACCACATTGTCATTAGGACGCACACCATGAGTTAGATGGTTTGTCTCCATCAGATAATATGCTGATTCAACAAATTAACCAAACAACCATGCTCTCGACTCTGTAGAAAAATGTATCCTAGGCACTTATCATGATGTATGCCTATATTTCCAGCTGACGAGGAGTCTTACTTGCTGAATGAGCTAAACAAAAAATGAGCTATTGTGCTTGCCTAAGGTAACCATGATATCTGAAGACCTAAACATAAATGTTATTTTCTAAAGCAATAAATTTTTTAGGTAAAAATACGGTGCACAAGATACTATGTGTCACCTTTTAATTTTGAGGTGTAGTAGATAACTATAGTGTTAGTGTTCTATTCTTTTCCTAGATATGCTGCATGTTCTATGATAACATATGCATATGTTCATAAAAGTGACAGACTCCTCATCTTACCAATGCTGAGAAAAAGAAAATATTCTTTCTTTCTTTTTTGAAAGGAAGAAAATATCCTTTGTGATGCATTTAATCACTCAAGCAATCCGTGTATATATCGTTCTTGCACAATGGCAACTCTGGAAAAGGTATTTGTTATTGGGGCTACTGTATTTAAGAGTCTCAAATAAACGGTGAAAAAAAATACTTTTGAGCGCTTGTTTGGATACAAGTGCTAATCACTAGCTAGCTAAAAATTAGCCTAAATTAGCTCTAGTATATCCAAACAGAAGGGCTAATAGGTGAGCTAATTTTTTTTAGACAGGTCTTCAACTAGTTGTTAGCCAACTAGCTAGCTAATCTTGACTAATTTGAGCTAATTTTTAGCCCAATTAGTAACTAGCCTAGCTCGTCTAATCAGGCCCTGACCTGATCACAACGCAAGCAAACGAACCAATGGAAGAGCAAACAGACGATGCTGAAGAGTGAAGACCTCCCAAATGGTAGCATTGCGGTAGACATTAACAACAATGATATCTGAGTCTGACACAACGGATATTGGTGTCATGCTGTTGTCTCAACGACAGAAAGTGAATGTTTCATGTATCATGCATGTTTGACAGCACTACTGCACTAGTGGCCTAGCGGGGCGTATTGTACAGAATACAGATCTTAAAAGATCGATGGAGCTAGCTACTGAAGCTACGCTATAAACATGTCGAAGAACGATGTCCATTTGGCAGATAGAATAGAAGGATCATCATTTCTTCTTGAAGGTAATAGCGTTCGGCTCTTCCGGGACCGGCGGCATGCGCTGCTTCTCCTCCTCCACTTGCTCGAGCAAAACCTGCAGCTCAGCCTCCGACAAGCTCTCCAGCCGTTTCTGCAAGGACACAAAATGCAACAGGCCCATGGCGATCAATCTCTCTCTCTCTCCAGCCGATAAATTCAGAAGCCGCGACGCGCACCTCCATGACTTGCTTCTCGTAGTCCCTGAGCTGATGCGCGTAGGTCATGTCCTTGTTGGCCACCCGGAACATGTAGGTGGAGATCCAGCCCACCGTCATCCCGAGCACCACCAGCAGCTGCACCACGTTCCCGGCCTGCAAGGGGTCGACGCCCAGGAGCTGCACGCGCGTAGCGTTTCCCGGCGAGTAAGCCAACTGCAGATGGAAAACGAGCGAGATTTCTGCAGTAAAATGGACGCGGCGGCGGCGGCGGCGCCTCACCTCGAGCCCGTACTTGAGGCCGACGCCGAAGGCGGTGACGCCGAGGCCGATCAGCAGCACGTCTTTCCTCGTGTACCCGAACGGCGCCTGCAACGGAACGCGACCGAACCCCGCTCGGTCAATTCTCGGCGTGTTTTGTGTTGTGCGGCGTGCGCGCGGGTGTTTTCATCAGTTTCAGGAGTGTTTCGGGGATATCAGGGGGGGCGTGGATTACCTTCTCTTGTTTCGGGGATTGGGAGTCATCCGTGCTGCTCTCCGAGATGCTGCTCCGTGCCGCAAAGCGCCGCCTCTGCCTCACCGATCTGAGCAGGCCGTTCGGGGGTGGCAGCAGCACGATTTTGGCTTAGGGGACAGAGCAGAAAGAGCAGGACTGGATTCGAATCAAATCAGCTTAATAAGATGATGAGAAAACTAAAGTGTAGCAGTGTCACGTACTGGAAGAATGGCAAGGATGCAGGGAGGCTATCCTGGCTGAGCGGACGGCGCCGCCAGGGGCGAGCGCAGCTGCCGCAGGGGAGACTGAAGCCACGGGAGCGGCCACAGCTGCCGGAGCCATGCTTGACGCGCGCTACTCCCTCCCGCTCGGCCGCACGCCACTCCCCGTGCCGGGGAGCTTTATCTTATCCTGGACGCGCTGACGAGAGGACGCTGCCGAGCCGCGCGGGAGCACGTCCTCCTGGGCTTGAGTCCAGTGAGCTCCAAAATATCGCGGGCGCTCGCGTCGTGTGGTGTGGATAAGGCGTTCGTGCCGCGGGAACACCAGTTGCTCGGCTCGCCTTTTTGCCCCCAAAATGGCCTCGTCCGTCTTCTCCCCGCTCTTCACCTCGCTCCGGCTGCCCGTACCCACCGTCATATCGCGCTGTACTTCTTCGCTGCAGGGCGCGCCGTCGACGGTCCACGACGCCGTCCCTCGCCCGCCGCCTCTTGTGGCGGTCGCTAGCCACAGGAGGGAGTTGGTGCTAGGCGCGGCGCTGAGCGCGGTGCTGTCGAGGGGGCCGCTGCCGCCGGCCCAGGCGCGTGAGGTCGAGGTCGGCACGTACCTGCCGGCGGCGCCGGCCAACCCGGGCTTCGTCTTCTTCCGCGCCACCCCCAAGGACACCCCCGCGCTCCGCGCCGGTGAGGTCTCGGTCCTTGCCATAATTTCTCTGTAAGCATGTTGTTGTGGCATCAGTCAGTGCATCATTTCATTCGTGCCAATCTCAGGCAATGTGGAGCCGTACGAGTTCATCCTGCCGCCGACCTGGAAGCAGACGCGCGTGGCCAACATCCTGTCCGGGAACTACTGCCAGCCCAAGTGCGCCGAGCCGTGGGTGGAGGTGAAGTTCGAGGACGAGAAGCAAGGCAAGGTGCAGGTGGTGGCGTCGCCGCTCATCCGCCTCACCAACAAGCCCAACGCCACGATCGAGGACATCGGCAGCCCCGAGAGGCTGATCGCCTCGCTGGGGCCTTTCGTCACCGGCAACACCTTCGACTCCGACGAGCTCGTCGACACCAACGTCGAGAACGTCGACGGCCAGACTGTAATAATTGACCTCGATCGCTCCTCCCCTTGCTTGTTGTAGTGAAATCTTCCTCGGGCTATTTACAAAGCGGCGAGCTGCTCATGCGGATCACGGTTCCTCCTGTCATGCAGTACTACAGCTACGCGCTGGAGACTCCATTGGCGCTGACGGGTTCGCACAACCTGGCCAAGGCCACCGCCAAGGGGAACACGGTGGTGCTGTTCGTCGCGAGCGCCAACGACAAGCAGTGGCCGGCGTCGCAGAAGGTTCTGAAAGCCATAGTGGACTCGTTTCAAGTATGAGTGGTTTGGGTGATGAGTTACGTTGTTGGCAACATCCCCTTTTTGAGTTGAGTTGAGTTGCTTTACGAAGCTCTAAAGTACGAGGGAGTATATATAAATCTGATAAAGGCAAAACACTGCTTTTTTGAGGCTTGAGTGACGGTTGCTGTTCATAGTTTGTCGAAGACGAGACGTCAGATGTACACAGAGAGTGAACTGATCATTTTCAGTAAGAAATGCAGGTTACTATCTTGTAAGTCAGTAAATGCGATTCTTTATCTACACTGCACTTCACTTGTACAAAAAGAAAATGGCTAAATATGTAATCAATTATATCAAACACCACAAAAATTATATCCGGGCGCCTCATTAGAAATGTCCTACCAAGACCATGATTGAAATGTGCAAAGCAACGGCAGAGTGTGCAACGCAGGTTTTCTTCCAGAAAAGTTGCTTGCGTTTCAAATTTGGCGACCCTCTCTACCAAGAAAAAATATAGACTCTCAGGCATACTGTTTGACTTGTTCGCGACAAAGCGATCCAATGAAAACTAAAGTCACAGAAGTTGAATTTCTTCTTTAAATTAGAATCTTAAGGTCCGGTTTGGCACAACTTCACTTTACTTCACCAAAGAAGCTGTTTTTTAGCTTCACGAACAGCTCCAAGGTAGAGCTGGAGCTTGCAATGTTAAGGCTCGTTTGGCATAACTTCACTCCACTAGCTTCACTGACAACTCTAAAGTAAAGCTATGTAACGACCGTGACGCCAAAGAGAGGGGGTGAATTAGGCAACTTAAAATCTACTTCTAAACTATGGTCTCTAATTTCAATCTCAGCAAAACCTATGCAATTAAATAAACTATCTAAATATGTAACTACGGCTTTACTAATGTGTTGCTATCTCTATGACAAAATGAGTTATACAATCTAAGTTCCAATATTATCAACTAGCCTATGAACTAAGCTAGAAAAGGTAAAGCACACAACCGAAATTGCAATAAAAATGCGAAGTTAAAGATGAGAGATGCAAACTCCCATCGATAACTCCGGTATTTTTACCGAGGTATCGAGAAGCACGCAAGCTTCCCTTAGTCCTTGTTGGAGCCCCTCGTAAGGAAGCCCACGCAAGGCTAAGCTCCCGATCGGGTAACTCCATTGATAGCTCATGGCCTTTCCCACATGCAAGTGGGTTTTCGGTGTGCCTTCCGGTAAGCTTCTCCCGGACCGCTCCCCACTGTCTTCACTATTCACTATGAAATGGGCATTCGGCTTGCTAAAATGTGAAACGCTAAAAAACACCATTTGTGAAATATTGTGAGAGAAAAATATTGCGGTGGTAACAAATTTGGATACACCACAGGGCTACCACGGGTTAGTGTGGTCTCGCAAGACACCAAAAGCCCCATTAGTGGAGTAAAACAATGGCAACAATGTCACGCAAGCACCGAGTGTCAAGCACATATGAGCGTGGTCTAACTAGCCCAATCACTTCGCAAAGCATCTACACTAATCATCAAGTGATTCATAAGCACTATGCATGTAGAAAAGCACTAGAGTGGAGCCTCAACTCTCTTGCTATGTTTCTCAACTCCCACATACCTCATTTGGTTGGTTTGAGGTCCTATTTATAGCCTCAAATGGAGAAGTCGCCGTTGGAGCCTCAAAAGGGCCGCGCCCGACCGTTCCGGAGACGAAGAAGAAGATGGCAGGTTTCGACGACGGTGGCAGCGCCATCTCTCTCTGACTCTCCCTCTCTTCTTTTCCAACTCTGGCGGGCTTAGAAGAGAAGGGCTCAGAGAGGAAGGTCGGCCAGGTAGTGGGCACGACGGTGCTAGGGGTTGGTTGGAGCTCTATGGCCATTAAGCTCGCGAAAACCCTAGCGCGTCGTGGCGGGCGGTGGACAACAAAGGGGGCAAGGATGAGGACGAGGACAAGGATGAGGGCGCGGCTCCCCACGCGGGGGGTGGGCATGAGAAAAGGTGCGGATGGGATGGGACACGACAAGGCAGGCGTGGGTGGGGCGAGAAGGTTGATCCTTGGGCTAAAGTTTAGCCCTTGTCATATCGAATATTCGGATGCTAATTAGAAGAACTAAATATAAGTTAATTATAAAACTCATTGCAAAAACCCTAGGCTAATTCGCGAGGAGAATCTATTAAGTCTAATTAATTCATCATTAGCAAATGTTTACCCTGTAGCATCATATTGTCAAATCATAAACTAATTAGGCTTAATAAATTCATCTCTGAATTAGCTTCTATTTGTATAATTAGTTTTATAATTAATCTATGTTAATTTTTAATTAGCATCAAACATACGATGCAACATGGTCTAAGCTTTAGCCTAGCAGTATCAAACGGGCCCAATCACCTACCCCGATAGTACCCTTATTTTATAATTATGCGTTATCGTGCTGCACTGCACTACCGGTCAAAATCGCTCGATTTTAATAGAAATGGAGCCGTCGAAGGCGTTTTCTGGAGCTCCTCCCGTCCTCCGCCTCCGCCCTCCGCCCTCCGCTACAAGCGCCGGAGCCGGAAGGACGCCTAGACTCTAGAGGAAAGTCTGAGTGATGAAAATGGCTACTACTCCACGTTCGCTGTTGTACTAGTACTCCACCGATCTCGCTCTGCAGTCTGCGCGTAGAAATATAATGGCCACAGCTGCGGCAGCTCGGCACGTGGTCGCAGTGCCATACCCCGGCCGTGGTCACATTAACCCCATGCTCGTCGTGTGCCGCCTGCTCGCCGCCGCGGACGCCGCCATCAGCGTCACCGTCGTCGTCACGGAGGAGTGGCTCGCGCTGCTGGCCGCCGCGGGGGTGCCCGACGCGCTCCCCGACCGCGTCCGCCTCGCCACCATCCCCAACGTCATCCCCTCCGAGCGGAACCGCGGCGCCGACTTCGCAGGCTTCGTCGAGGCCGTGCTGGTCAAGATGGTGGAGCCCGTCGAGCGGCTGCTGGACCGCCTGATGCTGGAGCGGAAGCCGGACGCCATCGTGGCCGACACCTTCCTGACTTGGGGCGTGGCGGCCGGAGCGGCGCGGGGCATACCGGTGTGCTCGCTGTGGACGCAGCCGGCCACGTTCTTCTTGGCGCTCTGGCACCTGGACCGATGGCCGGCGGCGGATGGTGATCAAGGGGAAGAAGGTATTGGCTACTTCTCCTTCTTTTTGCATACGACTGAATGGTGGATTAAGATTTGAGCATGGGGAGTTTGATTGTCCAAACACAGGAAAAATAAGATCTAGTTATAGGGCAGAGTCAGAGGGGACTAGCAGAGAGCCATTTCTGTTTTTATTTGCTTATTTGAGTCATCCAAGGCAATCACTTAAAAGTTCTCTGTAGTCTGATACTGTATGTCTAGTCTGCGTTCATGATCCGAAGATTTTTTTTCCCCTTTATGAAAAAAAAAACTTGTTCTTTGACCATTAGTCCGAGTCAGAAACTTAAGAAAGATACCTAAAGATTCATGAGTTGCCATGAAATCATGATCTTGAAGGTCCATATATATGAATGTCTATGAGAAAACATCACCCGCTTCCAAGAACTTTGACGCAAAAAATTGTTGAATACTGCTGTGTCTAGGAAAATGTCTAGTTGAATCATTTTCTGTTGAAAGGTTCATAAAACCAAAATTAACCAAAGTTAGAGATCAGTGAAGACAACTACTGCCTTCATGAATGATTGCTGAAAATGGCACGTCTTATTTGATCTGAAAGCCTCAGAATGCTATTAGCAAGCATATCCAAATGTCAGTGTCTGGGAATAATATGCGTACATGCTCAAAAATTCAGTTAGTCATAGAGCTCCTCATTTCAGGGAGGCGTGCAACGATTACTCAATTAGATTGTTTTCCACTGTCATTCAATAAACCGTATCTGTTTCGTCACTAACACATTCGATGCATAGGGAAACCAAAGCATTTTCAGTTAACTCTGAAACTTTATTTAGTTTTCCATTTTTATCTCTACAATCTGAGATTCCAAACCCATGAACCATGATTCTAGGACAAAACCATGTCCTTCGTTTTCCATCTCCTGAATAAGGTAGTCACGGATGCTGAATTCATAGTGGCAGAATCACTTGCCAATCAATGAAAAGTATGAACGAGTTAGCCCAGAAAATTCTTCTTGTCCCACTAAGCACTAATGAATATCTTTACTCTTTGCTGATAACAAAATTTCCAATTTGCATGCATTCAGAGCGCCCAACTTGTTCTGAAGTCTTTTGGTTTAAGTATTCTAGCCACTTCCAGTGCTAATATGTTTGCATATGTACTTTTAGTTACTTGGATCAGTAGTTATAGATACGAGCATCTGACCTCCTATGAACTGCAGGCCTAAGCTGCAAGTCCTTGGATCAATATTTCCCATTCCCAGCCCTCTCGTCAGTAAAATGTTCTGATATCAAGATCTTCCGCTCCATGGTGCTGCCAATGAAACGATGCGCACAAGTGTTCTCCAACGTGCGCAAGGCACAGTGTGTCCTCTTCACCTCCTTCTATGAGCTTGAAACCGGTGCCATCAATGGAACAAGGCAAGTGGTTCCTTGCTCCATATATACAGTTGGTCCTTCAATTCCATATATGCCACTGAAGGGTGATTCAGACAAGCTTCACCATGAGAACTACTTTGATTGGCTGGATGCCCAACCAAGAAACTCGGTATTGTACGTATCATTTGGCAGCTATGTTTCGATGCCTTCGTCTCAGTTGGAAGAGGTTGCCTTGGGGCTGCATGAAAGCACAGTTAGGTTCTTCTGGGTGGCCCGGGACAGTGCTACCACCACCACCCTCCAGCAGATCTCTGGTGACAAGGGTTTGGTGGTGTCATGGTGTGACCAGCTGAAGGTCCTGTGCCACCCCTCCATCGGTGGCTTCCTGAGCCATTGTGGATGGAACTCAACCCTGGAGGCCGTGTTCGCTGGAGTGCCTATGCTTGCTTTTCCCGTTTTTTGGGATCAGTTGGTGATTGGTCATCTCGTTGCCGATGAATGGAAGATTGGCATCAACTTGAGGGAACAGAGAAGGGAGGATGGTGTTGTCAGAAGGGCCGCAATCTCTGATGCTGTAACAAAGCTTATGGATTTGAGTGATGGTGATAGCCTAGAGATGAGAAGAAGAGCCGCAGAATTGAGAGAGGCTTCACAAGGCGCAATTCAGGAAGGTGGATCTTCACGTTGTTCTTTGAACAATTTCGTTACAGATATCATCGAAGGAAGACTGAATGTTGCAGAAACTTCGTGAAGGTTTTTGCTTAAATTTGTGGAGTCAGGGGACAGAAATGATCTCGTAGGCAAAAACATTGTGCTCCTGCAAGTCAGGTATGGGTCTCCTCTCATGTTCACGCATATTCACCCCACCCGCAACAATTATACAAGGTGCAGCTTGAAATCATGATTGCCACACGCCTATAGTTGTACACTTTCTGGAGCTGAAAACAGAAGACTTGATGATGTCTGTAGCAAAGATGGGGGACAGCGGTAGTCATGTGACGAGCATTCTGTGCCTGGGAAAACTTGTGCAGTTATGCTTCATACTACTCCTATTGTGGAATAACGAAGACTTGAGGAGCTTTGTATCGTACCGGCCCCTTTTTTTATATTTATGTAATTGAATCTGTCCCTACTTTAGGTTCAGTCGAACAGTTTCTCAACGTCTTTTTTTTTGTTATTATTCCTAATATATAGGAAAGGTCCTCCTAGAAGAAACATTTGATCTTCTCATCAATTTAATTGGGATCCAGCGGTCAAGATGCCTTTTACCTCCAAGATTATTTTTCCTGAAACATCATGATAAAATCCAGAAGAAAAATACGAGTATTAGTTAAGAACTTAGATATATAGTCTAACCGAATGTCTACCCCTAGAGAGATGTTGCACTTGCACAACACACTCAGCGTATCATCTTCGATCAGCCATTAGCATAAACAAGCACGTATAAAATATGAACTTAATTAGAAATGACAAACTTTCTTAACTCTTGCGTTAATCGTCTATCACATGAATGAGATCAAAACATTTCTTAACATGCTCTTGTGGATGCTTTAAGGTTTAACAGAAGGATTTCGTAAGGCTGGACGCCTGGACCTAGGTCACATGTGATTGGTGCTCTCTCTTTCTTTCTTTTTTTTAAAAAGATTGTTGATCAATGCTCTCTAGATCCATCCCGAGGGGCGTGTGGCCGGTGCGACTGCAATGCACAATTGTTAAACTTTACTTGGATTTGAAATATTTACAAATTTTATAAAAGCAAAATATTGTCCAAATATTTGGTGTCAAAACATGGGTTAAAATCACATGGTATAAAAGAAAATTAGTGACAAATTCATATGAGAAAACTAGTCTTTTGTTTAGCTGAATTGAACCTTTTAACTTATCTAAATGGAACAAGAGTAAACTCTGGCTCTCTTTTGGAAAGGACGTTATGAACGCCCGGAGCCGCTTCAAAATATCGGACGCCTCCGGTTCACCACACACAGAAGAAGCCCGCGCTGTCTATTTTCTCGTGCTCCACCGTGTGGACCCCACGCTGCGTACCCGCCTACCATCACGCCCGCACAGCGACCCACAGTGGCGCCCCAGCAAGTGCAGCAGGCGGCTGCGACGGGTGGATCCCATTGCAACATGTGCAATACCCGATTTACTTTTACAACATCCAGATAAAACACTTGCAACATATGTTCAAAACAAATATGTCTGAAACACTTGCAAAAACATCAGAAAAAATTTGGAAACACGTGTGTAGCCATTGCAAATATATGCAAACATCCAGATAAAATATTTGCAACATACATATGAAAACACTGAAATACTTGCATATGTATGCAACATCTATATGTACTTTTGCAATATCCTTTTGCAACATCCAAATAAAACAACATACGTCTGAAACAGATGAAATATTTTGAACATGCACTTCAAATATACGTATATAGCAATTGCAAGATGTGCAACATCCTAATTTATTTTTGCAATATCTATATAAAACACTTACAACATATCCTCTGAAACAACTAAAACACTTGAAATATAAACTTGGAACATATGTTTTCAGCGCAATATCATCTCGCTGCTTGAACGAGGCAAAGCTCAATGCCAGCGCGGAGTGGAGGTGCAGCGGGTGCAGTACCCGCGACGAGCCGACGAGCGACCCTGTACCGGAGAAGGCCGTGGCAAGCAGGAGCAGGAGGGTGCTATGCCCGCGACGTCGCGCCCCAGCACCGGAGAAAGACCGCAGGCAGAGGAAGGGATTGGGCGTCGCCGGGCGCGCGTTAAGCGGGGAGCCAGCGGTGCGGACTGGAAACGCAGCGTCCGTTATCGTTTTGAAAAAGCAGGGCAACATAACGAAGCTAAATAAATAAAGATAATATTGCAAATAGACTTTCAATTTGAGATAAGAACACAAGAGTCCCTAAATTTAAAGGACAACTCATAAGATTATAATTTCACCATTTTTTGTATCTAAATAATTATATAATTAAATAATAAAAAATCAGACATGACGTCTAATTTGGAGAAGCCTAAAAATGATTTTTTTTTACAACGAAGCCTAAACAATGATTGTTCATCTATCACGATGACGACCGGAAAGTAATAGAATATTTCATGAACCGATCGTTGAAAAGTCCCTCTATCCAAAAAAAAAAATTACAATTCTAGCATACCATAGTATAAGTCTATCGCTGCGTTCGGCTGAAAAAAAAAACACTGTAGCAACCGAAAAAGTTACTGTTTACGGTTGAATCTAGGAGAGAAAAACACAATTCCGAAAAAGCGAATCAAGCCAGGTTTCATGTCAGCCGAACAAGATAAAATTTTTATCTTTCGGTCTCTTTTTCCACTCCGATATGCTTGTCGGGTTCTATTACCAACTGAAAAAGTTACTGTTTACGGTTGAATCTGGGAGAGAAAAACACAATTCCGAAGAAGCGGATCAAGCCAGGTTTCATGTCAGCTGAACAAGATAAAATTTTTATCTTTCGGTCTCTTTTTCCACTCCGATATGCTTGTCGGGTTCTATTCATAGCGACTGAAAAAATTACTGTTTATGGTTAAATCTGGGAGAGAAAAACATCGTTTCAGATGAAAAAAACGGATCAAACTAGGTTTCATATCAGCCGAACGAGATAAAAATTTTATCATAACTTTTTTTTCTGCCTTAAACTTTTTTTCGGTCTCTTTTTCCACTCCGATATGCTTGTCAGGTTCTATTCCAGTCCGGTTCTATTCGTATTAGTTTTTTGAGAGAAAAATTCAGCCTTTTTTTTGTCTGGAAATTTTTTCGTCTGTCCACTCTAATCCAATTCGTCTCGTACTCACAATCACAACCAACGGAAAAGACCCCTTTAGACTGTCTTCAATAGGTGATTCGTAGGGACGCCTAAACCTAAAATAGACAGGAGAAGACTTAAAATCAGTTTTCAATAAAGTACCCTATTTTAGATTATCCAAAAGACATAATCCAAATATAAATATCCTCTCTCCTATAAAACTATTTATAAAAAAAATTCTCTTTTGAATTCTATTGATGTTGAAGAAGATCTAAATGAGCATGGAACCTTTCACTGTAGCGCTAAATAGGTCTTGGGTGTTGCGGTTCTGATGGACTCCTGTGCCGTTCCTTCCCCAAACACAAACACATATATATCCTTCCCCAAACATTCCCCAAACACATATATATATATATCCTTCCCCAAACACATATATAGACGCACCCAGATCACCGTGGGATCTCCTTCCCAAAATCGAATCCAATGTACGTAATACAAAATCGAATACAATACACATCAAATACCAACAAGGCTATAAATACTAGCCATCGGCATCTCATGTCACCACTACTCATCAAATCAAAGCAAGACAGAATAGATCGAATCGAGGCCACCGCAATATCTGCACAAATCGATCGAAGAGAAATTAGAGAAAGATTCGAATCGAGAAAAATCAGAGAGAAAAAATCAAACACCAACGGGTCGCGCCTCCATGCCGCCCGGGGCGCCCGCGCCGCCGCCTCCAAGCCGCCAGCCAAGTCCGCCGGCGCCGGCGCCGCCACCTCTGCCCTCGTCGGCCAGGGCGTCCGCGCCGTCTCCTCCCCCCATGTGCGTGGCCAGCTGCAAGTGCACCAAGCCAGGTCTTCCGTGCGCGCCAGACAGGGCCAGGCGCGCGCCCATGGTCCGATTTGCACCGGCCACGCGGACGCGGGCGGCGGGGAGCAGCAAGGCGACGCGAGCGGAGGCCGGCGCGGGGAGCGTTGGAGGCCACGCGATGCGGCAAGCAGAAGCTGGCGTGGGGAGCGTAGCAGAGGTGACACGGCATAGAGAGGCCGAGAATCCTCGCGGACGTCGCTCTCTCTCGCCGATGTGGGTGGGTGTCGTGCGTTGGGCACGGCCGCACGGATGAGGCTGAACTCGCAAGAACCCATGTGGTTGGATAAGATGGAGACAAAGTAAATAATGAAGGAGGAAAAAGAAAAAGAAAAGAAAGGAAATATAGTAGGAGGGGGTATATACATGGGAGAGAGGTGGAAGTAGAAAACAACGGCGTCTGATTAGCTGACTGGGCATATACATGGGCAAGAGGTTGACGTGCTACCGTTCTTTGGTTGGCTGGCTAGCTAGCAAGTATGTATCTCTCTAATATATATTAAAGAGAGAAAAACAAATTGTCCATCGTTTACAAATTTTTGATAAGGATCTGATGGACCTAATCTCTTGGCGTACAAGTTAGAATAGTGTGTTCAAGCATGGGATGGACTTTGATTCCAAACGAATTATAATATGGTGAATTTTCATGGTTCACCGCTCTCTTCGGTGCTCATGCGAGTTAGAATGTTTTTAATCCTCACATACATATACAAGCTAAAAACAACATGTGTCCACGCATAATATGGAATTCAATTCCGAGCCGAGTTAAAATGTATGATATGATCGTTGAATAAATCTCTGAGCCACAATTCTAGGTGATCCTTCAACAAGATATACATCCTACGTGCGCCCCTTCCTCCGCACGGCTAGGTCTGGTCCACCCACCGATGAAGGAGAGGAGCAAGGACAACGCCACCGATGGAGGAGAGGAGGAGCATGGACCGTGTGCACAGATGGGGTGGCGGTTGCTAAGGAAGTGTTAGAGCTAGGGTTTTATTTTTGGATGAAATATTATATACCAGTAGGGTAGCGGGTCGCTGTCGGGCCGGTCCGTGCCGGCACGGCGTGCCAGGGGTGCGGCCTAGGCATGGCCCTATGGTCGAACCCGGCTGGCATGAGCCCGACAATTAGAGTGTATAATGTGATCATTGATTAAGATCTTCAAGTCTCTCATGCCCATACGAGTTAACGTAGCTCTAGACACAGTACGAAAGTCCGATCTCGGCGTCTGCGTACAAGAGAAATTGAAACACATGGTGTGATCATTGGATAAATGTCCAAGCCATTAGTTCCCGTACAAGTTATAGAAGTGTGCATTCAGATATTTTAAAATGAATTGAAACACGAGACTAATCTAAAGTCTCTAAGATATTCATTTAGCGGCGTAAGTTATACGTCCGTTGCAACACACAGTCATATTTGTTGTTAAAGCATATTAAGGATGACTAATTATATAAAATATTAATATTTATGATATTAAATAAATATTATTTGTCATGAGATAAGTTCTCATATTATAGATATTTGGTGTCATTAGTGTATTACTAATATTATTTGTCAAGAGATACGTACTTTAATAAAGAATTTACCTAAAATTGCAACTACTTTTTTTGTCAAAGAAATTGCATTGTTTTTTATAAATAAAAAGAAAGATAAGCCTCCGGGGCTAGTGGCTGTCTGTCTGAGTGGCAGGTCTGCGGTTTCGTCGGTCAGTCCTCAGTCGGTGGCGGAACTGGGGCCGTGTTTGGCAGAATTTGCGGTGAAATGCGGTTTCGTCGTGTCGTTTTTTTTTATTTAGTAATAAGTCCATCGTTGATTAATTAGGTCGTAACGTGGCGGAACATTTGGGATACAAAGATTTGATGATAGAATCTTACTGCTGTGCAAATTTTAGAGATGCAAAATTGGTGCAACTAACAAGGCCTGGGGATACTCTAGTGATGACACTGTCGTCCGTAGTGAGCTCCAGCAACACCCTAGTAGTACTAGTAGCAGTAGCAGCAAGGCCAAGGCGACGCTTCCAACAGCCAGGCCGGGAGGCACGCTTGAGAGCCACACACGGAGACGTCACGCGCGGATGGCCGCCGCCTCGGGCGAGACCCGCGGCTGCGGCTGCCACATTGTGGCGGTGCCGTTCCCGGGCCGCGGCCACGTCAACGCCATGATGAACCTGAGCCGCCGCCTCGCCGCCCTTGGCGCGGCGGTCACCTTCGTCGTCACCGAGGAGTGGCTCGGCCTCATCCGCTCCTCCTCCGCCGCCGCCGCCGAGCCGGCGGGCATCCGCATCCGCACCATCCCCAACGTCATACCTTCCGAGCACGGCCGCGCCGCCAACCACTCGGGCTTCCTCGACGCCGTCGCCACAGAGATGGAGGCGCCCTTCGAGCGCCTTCTCGACGGGCTCGAGGGCCCGCCGCCCGCGGCGCTCGTGGCGGACGCCTACGTTCCCTGGGTCGTCGGCGTCGGCAACCGGAGGGGCGTCCCCGTCTGGTCGCTCTTCCCCATGTCCGCCGCCTTTTTCTATGCCTACTACCACTTCGACCGCCTCCCGGCCTGGCTTACCGACTATGAGCACGCGCCGGACTCCGGTGAGACTATTGGTGAGGGACTTACGGCCTTGGTGCCGTGCCAGGGTTTTAGCTTGTACAGAATTTCCCGGATAATTAGTTATCCACAGTTTCGACTTCTACAGAGAATTTGTGTTCCTACGAAAATGAATTGTTGAACTTAGAGATTCTAGGTTCTGTTTTTTTGTTTACAATGCATAGAGTATACTTAATACAGTAGTTAATACTGCTGCAAGATAAGCATAAGCTGTCCATATGGAACATTTTTCTTACTAGTGCCTCAAATGGCATTGTTTTTGCGCGTATTCCAAAGCTACCATTTTTTTTCCTGGTGGTAGTGAGACGAGAATTAATATGAAGACTGTTTGCTAGGATCTCATGTCACTCTGCACAAACTTGTATTTTAGTTTTAATCTCACGTGATTTCTTTCTTAAGCAATGGTCACACGACTAACACAATCTTCAGTAGTCACCATAGCTGGCATTTGCTATTCTAGTCCTCCAAAGCTAGCATGATTGCTTGTACAAATGATGCACATTCAGTTTAGTATCCGAATATAAGAATTATTTTTAGAGAACACCTAACCACTTAGATGTGTTCTTTGGTGGAAGGTTTGGGTTGGGTGTCCATACAACCATTTTCGATGCGCTGCTGTGGTGTGACTTGGCAAGTGAACCCCCGCCCCCCCCAATTTCAGAAAAGAGTACATCAAACGAGGATGAATCAAACCTGAAACACTGTCTCCACTCTATTTGTCTTGGCAGAAATAGCCTACTCTATTTCTGATTCATCTTGATTCGTATCCTTCTCTTATTCCTCCGTCAGATTGCCCCACAGCTTTTTTGAATATATATATATGTTTCATTTTCGTATCTCATACTTTTCGTTTCTGGTGCCTTTTTATGTGGACCATCGATAAGAAAGCTTGCAACATCAACATTTCTCAGCTGTCTATTTTATGATATGCAGGTAACTCTGATCAGAGACTTGGGCACTATATCGAGGGACACGCTTCAAGCTCAATAAGGTTGTCAGATCTCGAGCCCTTAATTCACGACAAGAGAAAAGTGAAGCATATCCTAGCAACCATCTCTAGCGTTAGAAATGCTCAGTGTCTCCTTTTCACCACCATGTATGAGTTTGAGGCCAGTGTCATCAACTCGCTAAGGTCAGCACTCTCTTGTTCGGTGTACCCAATTGGACCCTGCATTCCCTACGTGGCGCTTGAAGACCAGCATACCATGTCCAACGGCGAAGTTGCCAGCCAAGGAGACTATTTCACCTGGTTGGATTCTCAACCTGTGAACTCAGTTTTATACGTCTCCCTTGGCAGCTTTGTCTCAGTCTCAGCATCTCAGCTTGAAGAGATCGCATTGGGCCTAGTAGCCAGTGAGGTCAAGTTCTTGTGGATTCTTCGTGAATAATCCCCTCAGGTGCAAGAACTCTTCGCTGGCATCAATAATGGGATGATACTGCCATGGTGTGAGCAGCTTAAGGTTTTGTGCCATCGTTCAGTTGGGGGCTTCTTGACCCATTGCGGGATGAACTCGACACTTGAAGGCATCTTTGCTGGTGTGCCTATGCTTGCCTTACCACTGTTTTTTTTTATCAACCGATTGATGGACGATTAATTGTGGAAGATTGGATGGTTGGCCTGAACTTTAGGGATTGGGCTAGCAAGGATGGTCTGATCGGGAGAGTGGATATTGCACGGGCTGTGAAGAAGCTGATGTCTTCTGATGAAACTGAGACAAAGGCGCTGAGGAAACGTGCTCTCGAGTTGAAGGAGGCTTCTCGCAGAGCAGTCCACAAGGGTGGATCTTCATACTGCATTCTGAGTTCATTGATGGAGACGGTATGCACTCCAAAGTAATTGGAATCGTATTTTGTATGTGCTGAAACCAACCTTGTCACACTGTGGTGGTGTTGTAACTTGTAACCATCAATGCTTCAAATATCAATTGTACAATCAACCCTTGTTTACTCTTTAGAATTTGTGCAACTTTCACAAAGGTTGATTATGCATAGACCTATCGCAAAGGTTGATTATGCATAGGCCTTTACTTAATTGATGTTCGATTTGTTCAATCCATCAGCTAGTAGTTCTTTTGTCCGAGTTGCGTTTGGACAGTAGTTGTAGCAAAATGCCTAGTGTTTTCTTCTCCTTATCGAAGGTTTTCTAGTTTTCATGGCCTTAAAACTTTGTACGATCTTATGCTAAACTGATAAGCTGTGAATTGGCTTGAAGTTTCAAATTTACAGCTTAAGATTTTGATTCTGGAGACTTGCCTGGGTAGTCTGCACTCGCCATTAACCGGCGGCCGTGCCCATGGCCACATCAACCACATGCTCAACCTGTGCCGTGAACACCAGGATAGTGGCTCCTTGTGGAGATGGTGCTGCTGTCGCAGGGTGTGGAAGGCCGCGGCACCGCCGATGGCGTTGAGGTTTGCGTGTGCGTGCCCTCCTTTGCCTTTTGCGTGTACCCACTTCGCCGTCTTCTTCCATTTTCAGAGCCTCGCATTCGCACACCGCGGGACAGATCTGTCGCGCCAGAGTTTCAAATGACGAATATCATTTCTCACAAGACCAATATTTATCTCTTGCCAATCATTTCTGTTAAGATCCCACGAAGTTTAGCTTCTACAAAGTTCAGCAGTCAAAGAATTTGATCCTACAAAGTTTAGCATAAACTGCTGAACATGTCTGTATTTCGCCTAGACTATGAGCAAGTCTGTTAAGAATTTGATGAGCGTGCTGACACAGCAAGTGAGGAGAAGAGGCAATCAGGCAATTGATTTTTATAATTTGTTTACTCTGACAATTTTTGTTCGGTATTTGCATCAGAATCAGATACAAGTTTCCCCTGCAATTCAGATCATTCACCAAAATTCCAAAACTGTAGGGCCCACTTCCAATCCAAACGACAACTGATACATTTATGAATCAATTGAATTAATCAGCAAAACACCATTCACATTTATGAATAAATGTCGTACTAGATAGAATCCTGATGTACACTAAGGTTTATCCATCACATGAAACACAACATCCAAATCCTAATTGCCATCAGAAGTCAGATAACACCTGACTCTGAGAACAGCCTAGCAAACAATAGGCTGTCTCAAGTATTCAAACTTTCTTGACTCCCAAAACAAGCAAACATAAACACCCTAGCGAATGTCAGACTCGCCTTCCATTACACTTTATAAAGCAATAGCAAACACGGATACTAGCACGAAGTTAATCTTCGTTTACTTGCAAATCTCCACTGCTGGTGGACGAAGCGCGACCCCTCCGAACTGCTCGCTGGAATACTTCTTGTACACAACCCTCAGCTTGCTCTCAGGGGCAGTCAAGTGGGCGCTCACCAGCATCTTCGTGCATTCACTGAAACCATCGCAAATCACAAAGGTCAAACCGTGTCCAAAGCTTATGAAGAATACACATGGATAGGCAGAGAAAGATGGTGATTGGCAATGGAATCTTACATTAGTTCTGCCTCTGACTCTCTGAAGCCTGTGTGGTGCTTGAGGGTGTCGGTCCAAAGGGGAGCCCTCTTGAGAGTGAGCCTGGCTGCATAGACAGCAGAAGCTGCAACCAGCGAAGGCAGGCGTGTCACCAAGTCGTATTGCATCAGCGCCAATTCAGCAAAGAAGAAGACCATATTCTCCATCTGCATTTCACAAGACCAGAGAAATTGTAAGCTCACAAAAGCACAAGACTGGTGAATTTCTGATTGGCTACAACAACCATAGAAGACGAAATTTATTTACCTCTTTCTCAACTTTGTTACCCAAGGTTGCCGCCTTCAGAAAACGGACAAGGAACATGTATACTGTAGGGACAGTCAAGTTCCACTCCAGCCTATTCAGAATCCCCTTCTCTATAGAAAGAATCTGCTCCCTACTGTATGCACTGTCTGATATATGGATGAAGTCGTTCACCTGAAAAGCACACATGAATGCATTTAGAAAAAAACTTGAAAAGTAGCACTGGGAACATAGGACAGACAGAGAGACGAAAGCTTTCTGTGTACCTCTGGGGCCCAAATCTCCTCGTACTTGCAGGCGATCAGCATAGCTGAAACGCCGACAAGCTGCAGCTCCCTTCGCAGGACTGGTTGCAGCGAGAGGTACTGATCGATGATGTACATGGTCAAGTAGAGAGTTTCGGGCATCAGTTCAAACTTGTGGTGTACTTCAATTATCCAATCAACCAGGATAGCCCTCATCTTAGCGTTGATCTCGACTTGGGCTTCAATGTAATCACATGGCCGTCTCTCGTGCTGCAACAAAGCCAGAAAGAAACACTTTCAGAGACAGTTGCTAACAGATCACACAATTCACACAGATCTGTTGCAGTTACCTGAGCAATCTTGTAGAACGTGTAGATGTCCTCAATGTATTCCACGACTGCGAGCTCATCGTTGACGTCCAACTTGTCGATGTCTTCGATCACTAGTCTAGGCTTATCAGCGATTCCACAGGCAGCCTGACACGTTCAGATTGAAACAATCAGAACAATTCGCAAGTTGTTTGTAACAGGAAATTGCGGCCTGGAATTACTAGAGCAAGCAGAGTCTTTTGACAGATCCACGCACCTTTGAGCGAGCAGAGAGCACAGAAGAAAGGGTGTTGATGGCCTTCCTCCTCGAGCGGACGGAGCTAGCGCTGCTCTCGGACTGCGTCCTGCTCTGTTCAGAGTCGGAGCTGAGCACTATGATATCCTCAGGCGGCGGCAGCTTGGCAGGAGCCTTCCTGTCCTGCCTCGGCGCATGCCTCGCAGGCAGGATTGCGGCATTCTGATCGCACAGAGATATTTCAGTTAGAGTAAAGACAGGACTGGAAGATTACTATTTCAGGGAGACTGGAAGAGAAGGGAGCATGGTTGCACCTTGATGGCGGCATTCGCCTGCGCGTTCTTCACGAGTTGAGCACCGAAGCTTCTCGTGATGGGGCGACTGACCTGCTGTTCCTGCGGCTGAGGCTTCCTGTAACCAAGAACGAGTCTTTCAGAACAAGAACAGGCAACGGAACAGTGGTGGCAAAAGAAAAGGAGCTTGGATTCGTTCTTACCCTTCGGCTGGGCGGGCGGTGACGAGGTTGCCAATATCGCCGAGGGGGGGTCGCCGGTTCATGGCGTCAGCTGCTCGGCCGGGCACGGCCTTGCTCTTTCCGAGAGCGGGAACAGCGCCTGACCATCGCACAAGAGAGACAGGAGAGATCAGGATGGCACGAGATGTTCACCGTAAGAATTTGTACAGAAAACAAATCTACTCGAACATCCTTCCTCTAGACTAGCTAGAACCAGAATCCAGCCGTTGCGCAGAAACAAGAACAGACATCAGGAAGGACAACGACGAGGCTCAAGATCCAATCTTTTTCGCTAATTGAGCCAAAGAACTTGCTCTAGAAGGTAAGAATCCGCCGCAAGAGCTCCGCCCCCACCCAAACTCGATCAAGACGAACGAGGGAGCAACCAAGAAGAAGCGCTAGGATCCGTGGGCCTCACCTCGGCTGTGATGGCGGAGCTGCGGAGCGGCAGCGGCGGCGGCGTTGTTGTGGTTGCGGGTGGCCATCTCTTCGTCCTCGCTGTCCTCGGCCTGGCCGAAGAGCCCGGAGAGCACGGAGGCGAAGAAAGACTGGAGGCGCGCCGCCCGCGACCCCTCTTCACCGCCGGCGAGCGCAGCCACCGCGGATCCGGCACGGCAATGCAAGAAGAAGCGTTTTTTGCCCCCTTTCCCCTCTCTCTCGCTGGTCGGTCAGTCAATGGCGGCGTTTGATGGTACAGTTGTGAGGGGACGAGGAGGCTATGGCTCGGGGAGGGGAGGCGCAGATATAAACGAGCGTGCTGGCGGGCCGCGGGCGCTGTCAGGAGGCAGGGCGGAGCGGGTCGAGGCGGCGAGAGAGGAGAGGAGAGGAGAGAGGAGGAGCGGCTCCAACGGTCGGGAAGGGTTCGTATCGCAACGGTCGGGAGGAGCCGGTCGGACGGCTGGGATCGATCCCCCCGGGAAACTAGCCGTTGCGGCCGAGTGGGGTTTCGCCTCCGAGCTGGAAAGGGGATAGGCTTTCTTTTACGGCGCGTTGTTGAGTTGGGACTTGGGAAGCTGTGGTTCTGCTCTTCCTTCCTTTCTTGGCCCAGGCGCGTTATTAACAGCTTAACATGTGCAGGCGCAGTAATAAATGATTGGGGGATTCGCGTTATTATTTGGAGATCTCGTGTGTTTTCCTCAAAGCAAGAAAGGAAGGAAGAGTCTTTTGACGGGTTTATGTTTGTGTTTGTGAGCATGAAGTCTCGCAGTCGACGGTTTTTTATTTATTTTACCCTGTTCCGACGGGTTTATGTTTGTGTTTGTGAGCATGAAGTCAACTTTTGTGTCAAATTAAAATAGGTTTGATATCAATTGTATGTAGGATTATGTCCGATTTGGATCCTCAAATATTGTGTTCGTCTAATTTTGACCCTCAACTACAAAACCGTCTAACGTGGGTATCCCAACTGTCAAAACCATTCACCTTTAGCACCTGGGCACGAGCATGACTGTTTTGTCCGACGTGAAGCGGGTTTGACCACGCCACGCTGGCGTTGACCATGCCACGCTAACCTCTCTCTTTCCTGCGCCGCCTCCCTGCGCCGCAACCGAGTCACCGGTTCCTGGAAGGACGGCGTCCGACGAGATGGGAGGGGCAGGCGGACACCGCAGGAGGCGGTCGCGGGCCCAACCTCCCGCACGGAAGCTCCATCCAGGCCTCTCCTCGACGCCAGCAGGCATGGCCCGCGGCCGCTCGAAACGACCGCGACAGCACGCTGTTCGACCTGTCCGCCATCAACGCCGAAAACCTCTGTGCTTCGCCTCGTCACAAGGCCTCGCGCCTTCAATGGCACACGCAAGTGGGCACCCAAGCCATGCCTAGAAGCTTGCCGAAGCCCAGCCAAGCCGTTGTCTAGCCGCGTGACTATAAAATGTCGTCGCCGCCATCGTTGCTGACTTTCACCCCGCGACCAAATTCGTCCCAACTGCGCCACCCTTTTCCAATCCCTCGCACACATGGCTACGCCCGGTTGTTAGCTAGCCCCTGGACGTGATCTCATTGCAAACCATCAAGGGTAAGCCACAAATTTTGAGTTCTCGCCGACGTTGCCGCCATGGCCGCCGGAGCAGAGCTCCTGCTCGCTAGCCCGGGCGCTTGCTGCAGAAGCTCACGAGCTCAGCCTCCCACACCGACGCCATGCCCACACGCTGTAGTCACTCACAGGTGAGCCGCCACCGCCGTCACGCGGGCGCACGAGCATGCAGCAGCAGCCCCACGCGGCACCAGCACGTGTGGGTGCGGAGGCAAAACTGCTCGGCAAGGTGGAGGTTGTGCGCAGCGACGTCGTGGACGGCGAGGTCGAGGTGGGGCTCATGGTGGCGCTGCTGGCTGGCAAAGAATGGTCTCCGACTTGGTGTGCAGCAGAGGACCGGGGTCGGTGGAGGTGGGGGGACGCTGTTGCTGCTCCTGGTCGCGGCTTGGTGCGAGGTTGACGAGGAGCTCGGAGCGGCTCAGGGTCGGAGCCTGGATGGAGCTCCCATGCGGGAGGTTGGGCTCGCGACCGCCTCCTACGATGTCCGCCTGCCCCTCCCATCTCGTCGGACGTCGTCTTTCCAGGAACCGACGACTCGGCTGCGGCTCAGGGAGGCGGCGCAGGAAAGAGAGAGGCTAGCGTGGCATGATCAATGCCAGCGTGGCGTGGTCAAACCTGCTCCACGTCGGACAAACACAGCCCTGCTCGCGCTCAGTTGCTAACGGTTTTGACAGTTGAGATACCCACATTAGACGGTTTTCGCCCTGTTCGTTTGGGCTGGTTTAACTTATAAGTCATGGCTGACAGTACTGTTGACTGGTTTGGTGTGAGAGAAAA